GGTAATACTCCGTGGTTTCCCCGCGCTTCGTTTACCGGCGACTCCGTCGTTCCCCCACGACGGCCCACGGTGTTATGGCCATAAGGGCACTAGGCTACCAGCCGCAGCTGATGGTTAATAAGTGGGATTAACCTGCTCTTCAGACACAAGTGGCCAGTCAACCCAGAGGGCTTCCTCTGGAGTCCCGAGGGCTCCTCCCCCCCCACCAAAAGTGCACTGAATGTTTCTGAATTGTTCGGTTCCCCACACCTCCCCAAAACTGGAAAATATTTCCGGTACCGTAGGTTTGATCGGTTACAGAGATGCAGAATATCAACATGAGCACGCGGACGGTGCAGTCTGCCATATCGTGTGCATGACTGTCGCATCACCCTTCGCACTCTAAACAGGCGTTCGCTATTTTAACACAAATGCCCTTTAAATTCATCGAGACATAGGCCTATTTCGATTTCCAGGTGTCTTTTTCATTCAAACATTTTGATTAGCGTCCGTTACGCGATATACGCTATATACTCTTCAGCTGCATATTTGTTCCAGTCGCAACACGCCTGGGAATTTAATCCAACGGCCACCTACTGACAATCTTTTTAACAATAAAATGCATGACGTGACAAATTAGCCTTTAAAAAATGTTTTCGTTGTACCGATTTATCTAGGCCCATGTCGTTCCTCTGAGTCAGCGTTTATATTTTAACCTATTATCTCAAGAAAAACTCAGGTATTGTACAAGATCTTAAACTGCGCGCTTACAGAAAGGGACTGCACTAGTTAAGTCTCTTCAACTGAATGTTTACTGCGCCATAGTCAGAAACCCACGTCGATATCAACTGCTAAATGACAGAAGAGCAGTTTTTTATCTGTTCTACAAGAATCCATTAACACCTTGGGTAAAAAGTAGGCCAATAGCTAGAATCTTTCAAATACATTAATTATGAATGTATCGATTTGTTTCCTTCCTTTACTGTTACGCGGTCACCCTTCACCTTACCTACAGGAATAGTTTCTTGTAGTTGTAGAAATTTCATTTATTTGGAAACGATCAGACCCCTTATGAAAATTACCTCGTACATCAAGCAAAACTCGGGTCAGAGGTGCGAGCAAAAACCACGCAGTTAGCGGCTTTATTTGTATTTATAATACTTTACACAAGCATTTTATTATTTTGTGTACTTTTACTTCATAATGATCCCCATAAGCTTTAAACATCTGCCTAGACACAACAGGTGCAGATTTCAATATGTATGTTATGCGGATGACTAACGGAAAATCACTTACCCGCGGTTTTAGATATTTTTAAACAGGATCCCCGCGTGCTGTTAACTTCCAATACGAACTATCATAATCATAGTTTTTGCATTTAAACTAGTTTAAATTGGTCTCTTTGCATTTTCACGATTTTGAACTTCACACAGTTTTGATGGCTATTAATATGCATATTTACACTTAAAAATGTCTGCCAAATATTCAGAACATTTAGACACTTTTTATTACTAGATCGGGAAAACTTGACCATTACGACATATCAAAGAGCGGCTCCACGTGTCCTTAGATTGTACTTAAATTGCAGTTAAATGGCCTGTCTTGAGCGAGTGAGTTATTTTCACTCAATTAAAGAGACAGCGGAGCGCCCTCCTCAGGTGGTCAAAGGTAATATGCTTACTAATTTTAGAAACACTGCAATACATTTTAAAGCCTTGATTTCAAATCATATTAAATAATTAATCAATATATTATATTATCTACAAATCCAAAAAAATGTAATAATGAAATTGTATTTGTCGGTTGTAACTTTTATGCCTATTTTCTGACAGTGTTTCACTTCAGTCATACGCTGTATGGTTGACTATGAATCCAACAGAAGGCAGTGTCAAAGAATGATTGGAAGACTCGTTCCGTGAACATCATAAGATCTGCGTATTCCTGTTACTAATCCTAACACGTTAAATAATTCAAACAGAAATCGTTTCCTTAAAGCTTTCTCAATATTGTGACCTCTGTATAATACATTTTAATAATTTGCCGCGCTTAAACACATTAACTGCAGCTATCCAATGCCAAACATTGCTAATTGTAACGGCGATTAAATTCGGTCTTGCAGCAGATGTAGGCCTACTCATCTAACTAGTGTCTGTATCGTACCAATCACCAAGTACATGCTGGTCTTTTTGTGGCCGCATGGGGGCATTGTTGTGGAGCGTATAAAGATTTCTTGTGAAAATAATTTCCTCATAAATTTTACTCATAAACGCCCTTTATGAGCGATAGTGCCCCCACCCCCCATTTTCAGTATCTGTTTTCCGTTCCTTTGGTTAATTTATAAATCAGTTACTAATAAACTATAAGTCTAAGTATTTTGTTTTTTTTTGTCTATCCATACCTGGCTGTTTTTATTAAGGACGCGATAAAAAATGCTATTTTTTTGTAGGTTTATTTCCTTATTCCATCATTCTTAATTTTATTATCATTATTTGCGTGTGGGAATCTCGTATTAATGTTTTTAAATTCTGATATAAAACAAATCGGTAAACAAAAAAATGTATTAAAGCTCAGATTGCATCGGTGTGTCCATATACAGGGAAGGGCGGTGTAAGCTGCTGTTAACTAATCAATCTTTCTCAATTTTTCATTTGCTTAAACTTTTCATTCCATTAGATCGAGACTCTAACTGCGAGTGTAACCGCAGTTCTTCTTTGTTGCTTAGCAACAACCTCTGATCAGAGACCGTGGGGGGCGGGGGGGTTAGCAGTTTCTAATTATATGGGTGCGCACACTGCTCCCCAGTCCAGTCCTACGAGTTCGTATGCGAGCGGGGCTTTGGTAGGGTTTTATTTTTTGGGCGATAGTGCGAGAGCCATAACATTTTATCATGTGATTGTCTTTCGAAGACAGTTCGCATCTATACAAAATTAGTTACAGCACAAGACGCTTCCATTCATATATTCTTTAATTTAATAAGTCAATGGATCCTGCTGGGAGATTTTATTACTAATTTAATTTGCGTTTACCCCCTTTCTTTCTTTCGTGAGCTAATTTTTCCAGCTTCTCTTTTTACTTGCACGCACTTCCCACTAGTTTGTCTTCTGAAACCGCATAATTAAAACTTCCACTCGCGTGACACTTGAGTCGTTTAACCGTCGCGTCTCAGACGGCAACAAAATCGCGGGTGTTAGACAGAACGTTGCAATCCAACTGATTTTTTATTGGTACTAAAAAGTTGCCCACTGGATTAGGTATCACCCCAAGGGTTGGCGACATTAATTAAGGCATATTTAAGCACAATTGATGATTACATTTCAACATTTAATAGATATTACATACTCAGCAGATACAATAACAAACATATCATGGTTTGCTGCTGGTTAGGGATCCAAGCCTATGTCCGGATGGAGTTAGGCTCTAATCCTTTGCCTGGCAGAGTAATCATGAGAGCCCTTGAGTATGGCTCTGAACCCCTACTACTTCAGAGGCAGTGGATGCTGGCCTACTGTGTTCTCTGACCCCAAGTTTACCTTTGGATAAAAGCATTTGTTAAATAAACAAGTGTAAACTCCATTGAGGTTGTATCTTTACCAATCAATACATGAGATAATTCGGATCTGGATTTCACAAGGTATACTGGGAAAAAAACAGACTAAACAGGGTGTCCTTCACTAAATATTGAAGGAGAGTTGAGTTAAATGTAAGGATGGTAGCAAATTGGGGGAAAAAAAGTTTCAAAAGACAACAGACACACATTCTGAAAATTCATCACCAAATTGATGGTGCTGGCAGTTTTGTTTGTTTGTTACAATAACAAACAATTAGGATACGAACCTAGTTAGTGCCAAGACTACTTTTCACCAATTTCACGTCATTTTGAGTCCTCTGTAATCTAAGAAGCCACCACTGTGGTGTATTTCCATATCAATAGACATTTTAAAGGTGCAATAAAAAAAACTCCCTCAGCACCTGGTTCGTTAATATTAATTGGGACTTCTTTTATAAACCAGGAACGTTTCATTTGTCCCGCCCTCTTCATCAAAGGGCTTCACACGAACTGCTCCCAAAATTAGGACTTGTTACTCACAGAGACAAACGCCCTACGTTCTAAATGAAAGGTCGATGGTGCCACAGCACAGGGGGAAGCTTTAAATCAGAATTTCTTAGCAAATGGTTACCTCATAGGTGGAGTCCCATTTTGGCAACAAATTGCATTCACCGGGTAGGGCTATGTTGCCATGGCGCCTGATTAACCACCTTCCCTGTGTATATGTCAACATTAATGACATGATTTACAAGGTTTGTAAGATGCTGCACCTTCATAACAGCAGAAGATAACCCCGGTATATCCTTGTACACCTAGCCACGTTCAGACCTCATTTATAGATTACTTATATGACACCGGCTGTCAATAATCCCATTCATCTTCGATCGCCTGATTCTCATATCCATGACTTCCTGTGTTACTAAAACACTTGATGTAACTATAATTTTCAACAATTTTTATGTTGCGCGTGTTATAAGAATGCTCACAATCATTTAAAATATTTTGGCATTTAAATGCATACATCAAATTTACCTAAAATATATCATGCATTCATTTTAGTGTCAACCAACCAATTCACTTCAAGAATAGTCTAGACTAAGCTAACAAAACAGAGCCTCAAACCTCGTAATTCTGCACATTATCAGCGGACGTGTCTATCAGAAGATGAATTGCCCTGTCTTTCATTCTGCGGAAAATTCACCAAAACCGCGACTTTACGCTGGGGGGGGGGGGGTGCTCATCACACTGCCCACTCCTGTTTCCACTCGCCCTGCCCCCACATAAAGCGAGTTACCGCCCTTTGGTTTTCTCCGCAACCAAGCATGACTACCAGGCCGAGCGTATCTGCCGCCCTGTAGTCTGGGAACTGTAGTCCTTGGCGATTTAATCGGTTTTTGAAAACGACCGCTTACCAAATACAATTCCCATATCAACCCTCGATATAGAGGGCTCTTCTACCCCGTGCAAAAGCAAAGGGAGGTAAACCCGCCTACAAAATAAAAATATTTTTAATGCATCGGGTTTAAATGATTTTACAGTCAGCTTTATATATAAGAAAAATATCAACGCGGTACTAGAGAGAGAATTGCAACAAATAGCAGTGCAAGGTGCCGTGTGGCTGCAAGGTTTCCAAAGGGGGCGTGAATAGGCGTTGATTTTCGTCAGATGTTTAAATATGAATGGGTTGGTCTACAGACGGGGACAGTTTTTTTGTAACTTCGATTGGATACAAATTAGCAATGTTCGCATACAGGAACAAAATACGATGAACGGAACTATAGCAGCAACGCAGCCGGAGGCTGAAGAGGCCGGATATGTCTGCTTTGCACCGTTATTCTAGGGGGTTGATCGCGCTCGGATTTGGCACCGCCCTTCCTGACGGGAGGATCCCCTAGTCAGGGAGAGAAACCTTAGCGGTCGGAGGAGCTACGCCACAGCCTAGCAGTAGCCATTCGTGGAAAAAAATAGGCCGTCCTTCTTCGGGCTTCAGCCAGCCTCTGATTCCATACCGTCCGGCCTTTTTTCTTAAACAACTCCTCTCCGATCTTATTAATGCAGGATGAGTGGTACGTTACCCCCTCCCATCCGTCTCCACCCCTCCTTCTTTCTGCCACTTAGCTAAACCCTTGAAAGATTTTTTTTTAATACTATTTCCATTTCTTTACTATTTTTCATTTGACCTGGTATTTGGGCAATATGTGAAAGAGCCTCTTTTGGGGTGTTAACCTTTACTTCGTATCCATTGGATCGGCTTTGCAACCACGCGTTTTCATATGTTTTGTTATGTAGGTTACAATGTCAAGCGACAAAATGACTGATATTCACTTTCCAGTCTATAGTTCTTCCCGAAGGCTGCATAATATTCATTAATGTCGTTTTGAAACTTTTATTTTTTTTTATTTCAGATAAAAAGAAGGAAGCGATGGCGACATATGAGGGGAAGGCGTCTGGCGGTGATTATGGCAATAAAGGCAAAACTTCAGGTTCACAGGTAAACCCAGACTGTCATCGCCGCTAACTTGACGTCGATCGCCCCCCACCCCCTTTCGCCATCGAGACACCCCGTCTTTAAATGCACGAAATAACGCGACGTGTCAGCGTTCGAACTCAATTCGCAGGTAGTTTTAACTATCGCCCGATTTGCGGGCTGGATTCGTGCGCTGATCAGCAGTGAAGTTTACGGCAGTAGACGAGCAGCAGCCCGCTTATTGTTGTAACAATAGAAATTCGGCAAACGGAGAGTTGAGATGAAGGAGGGAGGCGTTTGTGGACGTGTTGCAACAACAAATAACGATTACCTAAACAATCTTATTCCTGTTCAATATAACCCAGTTGTTCATCAGAGAATCTGTGCTGGGTGAAATCTCTTGCGAGATAAAAATGCATTTTAACGGCTTTAATTCCTTGTTAAATATCTGCCAGCTACATTATTTTAAGTAAAGCTTCTTTATTCTTTGCCGAACATGTAATTCACACACCCACTCTCTTCCTGTGAGCCCGCCCACATTTTGCTATGTGTATGTTTTTTTTTTTTCTTTTTTAATTTTTCCGTGTCGATAGGATGCACAGCCGTCTCCCCTTGCGCTGCTCGCTGCCACATGCAGCAAGATCGGCGGCGAGGGGCAGCTTGCGGGACAGCAGCAGTTCATCATCGACCCGAACCAGGGGCTCGTCCAGCTCCAGAACCACCCGCAGCAGCTCGAACTCGTCTCTGCGCAGCTTGCGGGCGGCGGTTGGCAGATATTGGCCACGCCGCCCTCCGGGTCTAAGGATAACGCTGCACTGAGCAGCGGCAGTAGCACCGCCGGCAGCAACGACGGGACCCCGGGCAGGAGAGTTAAAGCGGCCGGCCTGAGCAATGCGCCGGCAGGACAACAGCAGTACCAAATCTTCCAAGTTCAGAACATGTCCAGTCCCACAGGCAGCATTCAGTATCAAGTAATACCGCACATTCAGACCGCAGATGGCCAGCAGATCCAGATAAACACAGCGAACGCGGCCGCTGTGAACATGCAGCCCGATCAGATTCAGCTCATCCCCGCGGGAAATAACCAAGTGATCCTCGCTGCTCCGAACCGGGGCGCCACGGCCACTAACATCGTCGCTCAAAACGCGGCGAGCGCTGCAGTTCCCCTTCAGATTCGACCGGGGGTGTCTTTCCCTCTGCAGCTGCAGGCGATTCAGGGCGCCCAGACTCAGATGGTGACCACGCTGCCTATCAACATAGGCGGAGTCACGCTGGCACTGCCCGTGATCAACGCTGTGGCGGCAGGGGGAGGGTCCGTCCAGTTGGCTCAGCCTACAGACGGCGGGGTTTCCAACGGTACTCAGCTGGTGTCCACGCCCATCTCGGGCGTTGGTAGCACGGCGGCGGAATCTACTACGACCACCTGTGCCGGGACTCCCAGCAGCGATACGTCGGATTTCAATACGGTCCTTTCTGGTTCGGGTGCTGTCGTGCAGAAAGGCCAGCCCGCCGACGCGGATGGTGCGGGTCAAATTCAGACGAACGGGATCCAGGCGGCGCAAGACCTGCCGGCTCAAATCCAGCAGGTCCAGATCGTGGGGCAGCCCGTGCTGCAGCAGATCCAGGTCCACCAGCCCCAGCAACAGCTCGTCCAGGGTCTCCAACCACAGGCGATCCAGTTGCAGCCGGGCCAGACCATACAGACGCTCCCACAGCTGCAGGCACTGCAGAGCCCGGCGCAGGTGCTCATTCGGGCCCCGACCTTAACCCCCTCCGGGCAGCTAAGTTGGCAGACGGTGCAGGTCCAGAGCATCCCGCAGGTGCAGGCCGCCGGGGTCCCGCAGCAGCTGGCGCTGGCCCCGGTCACCTCCAACGCCGGCGGAGCCGCCTTTGCGCAGATCGCCCCCATCACCTTGAGCGGGACGCCGATCACACTGAACGCGGCGCAGCTCAGCCCCGGACCCAACATCCAGACCCTGAACATCGCCAGTCTTGGAGCAGGGTTGCAAATGCAGGGGGTGCCCGTTGCCATCACAGGGGTGCAAGGTAAGGCGCTCTTCTCAATAAATAACCTCATTGGGTAGCGTATCATTCAAGTGATGAATAGATAGATACATGCTTAGTTTAATTTGCACTTCATTTTGAGGTATTTTGTGCGATTTTACTTTAAGGAAAATGTTTATAAGTAACATTTTCGGCATTTAGTATTCGTTATATGCCTTATATTCGCGACAGCATCAGACCTATTTTATTTATGGCCTTTTAACAGTATATAAAACAACTAGGCTGTAAGATATAGGATTTAATTTTTATTGGGGTCCATTCCTTGACTGGCACTTAACCTGGTGAATCCCAGTGAAATTTAGGATGTCTTTTGGAAAAGAGTCCTGACCTAGACAGCCAATAATAAAGGTAAAGTCCACAGTTTTGGATGTTACATTTTCGGGGGGTGGGGGCATCTGTGGCCTGAGGTCCTTTTTCTGAAATTCTCTTTGGGTCTTTTGTGTATCCATGAGGACACGTGGTTGGTGAGCATGACCAGGGTCTGGCTGGGGGGGGGGAGGAGCCTTCCAGTCAGCTGGGTGATTAGACGGCTCCCCCAGTGTCCCGCCAGTTCTGCAGGGGCTCTAGCAGTTAATCCCTTTATGGTCAGATTGAGAAGTTTTATACATCCCTTGGCTTCTGAAAGATAATTTGGTGAAGTTCCTCTATAATACAATGTTTTGTCAGTTTTGTGGTTTATCAGGCCTCTGTTGAAATGAGTGCAGAAACTTTATTGTAGTTTAGTGCCTCTAGTAAAGTATAAGCAAAATGCAGGTTTATTTGACCTTTCGTATTTGTCATTGTTTTCTGCGGTTATTAAGGTTACGCCTTACTTCACGGTGATGTCACGCACAACACCATCACTCTGCCAGCAAATTTCCATGGTTGACGGTAAATTCACCCATATGCTTGCATGACAGGCTGGCAAATTGTGGTATCTTCAGGGATGTGGTACTTCTCATTGCGGGGACTCCACGGACTCCTCTAGCTAAGCTACCGCAGTCTTCTGCTCGCGAATCGGCCGTCTGGTCTGGTAGCATCGGGACAGTCTGGGCGGCCTTTTGCCGGAATCTGGATCAGTGATACACCGCGTCTGCATCCATGGAAATGAATGTGTCCCGCAGAAGGTTACAGAATGTGGCGGGTTAGGTTAGGGTTAGGGTTAGGTTAGGGTTAGGGTTAGGTCCCCATGGATGTTACATTGCTTGTAATAGTTCAATTTGTCTAATTTATGTGTGTAGAGTTGTCTAGACCACACATTAAGATAGTGAGTGTAATCATGCAGTCTTCCTTTTGTTTCCCCTCTCTCTCTCTATCTCTCTCTCTATCTCTCTCTATCTCTCCTCTATCTCTCTCACCCCCACAGAGTAAGAGAAGCAAAATTACCAGTAACATGTTTCGCACAAAACTGGAAATCTTGTGAATGTGTATTTATGACCTCATCTGACTTTTCAGGCATTTTACTTTTGCTGTTGATGTATTCAATTCTTTATTTTTTTTTTACTTAATCATACTGACAGGTTTGATTGCATAAAGAAAATCTCCTCTTTTCCTCTATTAATGATGTCAAAGTCAGGTGAAATCAAAATGTTAGTTGACATTATTGAACTGAAACTGTTACACTCAGACACTTTAGCTGCAAGTCTTCTCCCTGGGACAGAAGCTCTGTGGTCTGTCTGTGCAAAGCCGGGGAACCACAGCAGCCCGACCTTAACCCCGCAGCGTTCTGAGTGATTCTGCCCTTCCACGTAGATTCTCTTTGAGCTTCATTTTTAACAGCATGGTACAGACTTAAAAATGCATAATTTCTTAGGGACTTTCTTACCAACTTCTTTAACCAAGATGCGCAAATTGAGGAGCCATCGTCACTAAAATCTGACAGTAAACTTGAGATCTTAGGATGATATTCAGGGATTCCAGTTAAACGCATAACGAAAATGACGAGTCTGTGAGCGACTGTTCCGGCTGGTGAATCTGTCCCTCCCCCCTGCAGGACAGCAGCAGGGTCAGGGTGGGGTGAAGGTGCAGCCAACTCCAGTGACGGTCACTCTCGGTAGCATCACCAGTGCGGCAGCCCTGAGCGCCGTCAGCCCCGACCAGACCTCGCGCGTCCAGAGCCCCGCCGAAGACGGGCAGCCCACCAAGAGGCTGCGGCGGGTGGCGTGTTCCTGTCCCAACTGCCGTGACGGCGAGAGCAGGCAAGTGTGGCTCGCTGGGGGGGTGGGGGAGAATGCTAAGCTAATGCTATCATATGGGGAACTCGTGAAATTAGGTTAAGCGAAGGTTAAAGACGCTGTTGTAGTACAGTTGGACTAGGGCTGCAAAAAAGTGATATTTTGATAGATTAATCATGTGACAAGACAACCAACTGATCCATTATTGAGCCACAAATGCAAATACTTGAATTAAAGAACATCAAGAGGTATTTTTAAAGTCAGAGTTGTAATAAAAACCTTTACACAGTGTACAAAATCTAAGGGTGCAGCAGAACATATTCTCATTTATCGGTTCACAGTTTGGTGCAATTTTGGTATAGCAGGGAAGCAGAAATTGTTTTGAATTTGATTTTTTTTTAAAAGTGCGAACACAATTAGGTACAGTTTTAACCCAAACAGCTAGTGTGTATAAGTAGCCAAATAACAGCATAAATTGCTAACTTGTGTGTTATTAAAGGATTATATAGCATTCACTCCAGTGTAATTAATATTTATATATCAGTTTGGATGTCGATATGGACTAAAATGTTAATCATCGTGGTAAATGCAGAACTCCGTTAGATGTGTTTCAGGGCACGAGAGTTTGGTGTCTTTTTGGACTGAGACCAACGGCACCTGCATAAGAATTTGACTGGGTGGCCATCAGCGGCCAGTTAGGGTTAGGGGTGAAAGCTTCCAGCTGGGGGTGGCGTTTGGGGTGGGGGACGGTGCCGGTGGATCAATCGGCCAGATTTATTGACGTGGGGTGGCGACAGAGGTCACCGTGGCTACCGCTAAGCCCCGCCCTTCAGCCTTGGACACGCCCCACTCACTCAGCCGGTGACCGTCTCCCAGGAACAGCGATCCGGGGAAGAAGAAGCAGCACGTGTGCCACATGGAGGGCTGCGGGAAGGTGTACGGCAAGACGTCACACCTGCGGGCACACCTGCGCTGGCACACGGGCGAGCGGCCCTTCGTCTGCAACTGGATCTTCTGCGGGAAGAGGTTCACCAGGAGCGACGAGCTGCAGCGGCACCGGCGGACGCACACGGGTGAGTAGGCGTGTGCGACCACACGGATGCCGACGCACAAATATGCGCATGCACCTAAAGCTGCACGGAGCTGCACGGCTGCTGACACGCATAAATACTCCTGCATCTGTCCCCCGGCAGGAGAGAAGCGGTTCGAGTGTCCCGAGTGCTGCAAGAGGTTCATGCGGAGCGACCACCTATCTAAGCACATCAAGACGCACCAGAACAAGAAAGGTGGAACGGCGCTGGCCATCGTCACCACGGAGGACATGGAGGACACCGTCGACGACGTGCTGGCATCGCCCAGGATCGTCACCGTGGCGTCCCTGTCACAGGACTCCAACCCGGCCACGCCCACTGCGTCCAGCAGCATGGAAGAGGAGTTTTAGCCCCGCCTTCGAACTTAATGAGGTCCCTTGTTTTGTTTCAGGTCTGCGTAAAACGATGTTGGTGGCTGTTGGGATTTTCTAAACGAGTGTTCGGTGAAGTAGTCATTTTAGAAAGAGCTACTGCAAAAAGAGTATTTCTATATGACTGAATTAAGCACAAATATGGGTAGACAGGGCCCCAGGTCACTGTAAAATCTCTTGCATAAAAATACAATATTCGTCTCTATGCACAAAAGAGCTGTTTCTGCTTGGGGTTCACAGTCATTATAGTGCGAACCGTGGTATCTGAGTAGGTGGATTTTTATACACGTGGAGTGGTGCGTTTTCACGTAGTTTCGAGCTGGTCTAAGTATGTGAGCTCGGAAACGGCGATGGGAGTGCGGTGGATGTTGGTCGGCAGGCCAGAGGGTCTCTCTTTACTTTAAGCCGTCGGCGTCCGTTTGATTGGCATTCAAGGCACCGCGTGCTGTTCCGGTTTCTTTGGTTCTGAAGCTTTTTGTAAAAAGTTCTGATCCAGCATACGTCTCGGTGACGAGGCACGCAGACTCCATCTAAATGGTTCTCTTTTATTGAAGAGTTGGCTGCAAGCTTAATTTCCTTTTGTTTAAGGAAAAAAAAAAAAGAACGAATACCTTTTTATGTACAGAAGCACACGTGAATAAGTGATGGCTACCTTTCGAACCGCTGTGAGAATGCACCCTCCGTCTCTACAAGAAAACAATCAAGCTTTCTTCTTCTTGATACATTTGGTGAGCGATACGATTGAGACAATCCTTTTGAGACCATGTTTACATTAATGTAAATTACAAATCATATTGTTATATATATATATATATATAATGAAAAAGCAGAAAATTTTCTTGATGTTTATTAACCTGAAGTGTTATATATGTCGTATGATCATGCTACTTTGCCTTAGCATAAACCAGGAGTCCGGAACTTCTCCTTGCAACCCCCCCGACCCCTTCTGGATATTTGTTCCATTCCACCACTAGTTCAGTTAGTTGTGCCGGTGGTGGAGGAATATCCGGGGGGTTTCCATGGAGACAATCTGGGCCCACTGGTATAAATCACATAAAGTGATAGGATTAAAACCCTGGTTCAGTGAGCGGGGTTTGTACAGGTGGTTATTGTATACCGGCCCCCTCGAACACTTTGCTGGTGCTCAGAGGGACGTGTATGATTACACGCCGAAACTAGGCTCTGATGTGCAATAATCCCACGCGCCCCCCCCCCCCCCGTGTGGAACTGTTTTGAAGTTAATCTTTATTTGTGTTTTGTTTTCGTTTGTCTTCTCGCGTGTCCCATTACGTGTCCCCGTTGCTGTCCTCGTGCTGTCTGTCGTGGTTTCCCCAAGGATCTGACCCGTTTGGCAGTGTTTGTGTCCGGAGACGTGTTTCTTAAGGTGTTCTAGATATTTCGCAATCAGTCCTGCTCTCAGTTTCACGCATTTATTAGTGCTGACAGGAGAAATGAGGCTGTGAAAGACACAGTGAGATTATTGTGAGCTGTCAATTACAGCTGGGTTGAGCCCCACAGCAACAAACAAATTAACCAATGGAAAATGGCTAAGCAGGTGATTGACAGCCTACAATAATCCCACCCACCAAGCCGCATTTGTCCTGTCACAGTATATTAGTAACTGCATTTGGCTAAATTATTTTTGGTGGTTTTACCATTCTCCATTGCATATTGTTTGAAAAAGTGTATTATAATCAAATTCTGAGATTATGTACAGCATGTTTTATTTCTGCTTATAGTAATTGCTGAATTATAACTGTACGGTGCTTTTATATGTGGAAACATAACAGTTTATTTAACAAGCTTTTCCTGTTAAAAAAAATTAAATATTGTTTAAAGCAACATAACTGATACCAAACGATTTAGATGTTTTTTCGTAATATTTTGTGGGACTATTAATTTTTTTTTTTTTACATTTTCTAGGGACATCTCATTTGTAAATCTTTTTCTAAAATATTTGTCACCATGATGTTTGATAATGGTTTTTTTTTTTTGCCAGGTTAGCCTCAAAAACTTCAGTTTCTCAATATTTTTAAAGCAGGAGGTTTGTACAAAGATGATTTATGAACAAAATAAAAAAAATATTGCCTCAATAACACTCGCAAGTAAGTGAATAAATCTGACAGGATTTTATGCCCTTTAAAGAGAACATAAATATTGTGTTACTGGCAAGGAGCTGCATCCTAGCTTGTACAAGCTTGGTTCACAGGGAGCTGCAATGTGCTCGTGCTCATCATTTGTCTTAAAAGTTTTGAAGATCAATATCATACATAATTTATTCTTTGTTGAGGCCTCCAGAAGCGTTTAAATGTAGAATGAAAATTGCAGGTTTGAAAAGGTCTTTTTTGGGGCAGAAGTTCACCTTATGTTTAAACCTGAAAGCTCCTCTACTTCTGATAAATGTTCCGCTTTGAAGTCTCTTTACGGCAGATCGCCTAATGATATCTAGAAGGCTTTAACCTTTGTGATTATTAAAAAGCCAAATTGCTAACAGCAAAATGTAGTGGACTATGGAGGATTGTTCATCGGATAATCAGCTTACAAAATTAGTATTTGCCTGCAAAGGTCATTTTGCAATTCAATTGAATGCAACTATAGCACCTATAGGATGTTCTGAAGATAGACATGGCAACATGAGAACCGCATGAGAGTTTGCACCTTGGGTTTCCCATAAACACTCAATGAACAACCAAGAGGATCGGTCTCCATGACTGATGCACAATGTAGTATATAATGATTACTCTCATTCACGTGTGCCACAACAGAACAAAAAGTCTGGGAAGTGAACAAGTCAGCAAACAAAAAAACGACAAAGGCGATACCTGTTTGCGGAGTTGGGTAATTCAGGTCCAGAGAGTAAAAGTCCAGACCGGGATTTTGTTTCAACCAACCAGTTGAGCATAAAGAGTCACAGTCACAGTGTACTCAACTGGCTGGTTGAAACAAAATCTCGGTCTGGACATTTACTCTCTTGGCTTGGATTACCCAACTTTGCCATTTGCCACTAACGTTTAAAACGAGTTTCTTGAGGAGTTTTAGTGTAGCTAAAAGAAGCTAACTGCTAAAGCCACCAATTCAACAATATTGCTGTTTCAGGGCGCTCAATGGAATGAAGACGAGCCAAATGCAGTGGCTTTGGGCAGCCTTAGGTCTTTTGTCCCTGTGTTTCAGTCATTATTTTACACCCAGTTGCCTTCTTCCAGTTAACAAACATCCAGAAATATTTTTGCATGTATTGCAGGGCTGTGAATGTGGTCCTAGGGCAGTATTGTATCATCACAGGAGGCTCCTAGGGCAGTATTGTATCATCACAGAAGGCTCCTAGGGCAGTATTGTATCATCACAGGAGGCTCCTAGGGCAGTACTGTATCATCACAGGAGGCTCCTAGGGCCAGGGGCGCC